CCAGGTGAGATGTGCCTCTTGGCATATGACATGCACGCTGCTTGCAGTGGAGGGGAGGTGGTTCTGCCTGAAAAAAGCTAGAGAAGCTAGCAATTACCTCTAATTCAGCAACAGGCACTGAACACAGAGTCAGAAATTTAAAAACTTGCAAAGCCCTTTTGGACCAGAATATGGTGCACAGAACTATCAAATACATCTACACATAGGGGCTCATGGCTTGATGGTTCTTGAATATTTTGACAGCAACCATTTCTTGAAATGAGAGCATGAATGAAGCATATCTTGGTATCAAATATTTTCTTGAATTATTCCTAGTAGGAATCTAAAACAAAAATCTTTTTTTATTATAACTAAATCTGACCTACAGATAACATTTTCCTGAGGTACAGAATATCAATGACAAAGGTTAGTGTCAACATAAATTTCTGGAATATAGCAAACTCTAGCATCAATAACTAAACTGATTATGATTTTCACACGTTTGCTTCCTGATAAAAATCTCTGGCTCTTCTGTCCTGGGAAGTGTCTCTTGTAGATGAGATAGCCTTTCACTTCAGTTAGCCCTGTGAGCCTTTCTCTGAAGCATCTTAAATTTAAGAGAATAAAATGTACTCATTTTTACAAGCAAACATTGACTTACTTGGTTGGTGCCTTGTGGAATATTATTTCTAGATGGTATTTGAAGAAGTTACAAATGTAATGCCCCTTGTAGAAAATTTGTAAATACGTTAAGTATAAAAACAATCAATCACAATCTCCTGTCTTTGATGTTACTACACTTTCTTAAAACACATAATCTTTGTTCACGCATCTATTTCATATTTGCATGCAGCATGTATTTTCAAAACTGGCCAAGTTTTATTTATATCTATGTGCATATGTGCCTCTGTTTTTATCTTTCTCCACTTCATTTTGTATTTTATATCTACATCTCTAATCACTACATATTCTTTAAAAACCTGACTTTATGAGCAATGGAGATTACAGGGGATGGATGATAGCTGACCATTCTTAAAGCTGTAAGCCTTGGCGAGTTAAATCAGTTTGCAGGCTCTGAGGGTAACCTGTCTTTCTGGTGTTAGCAAAGAGGGGGAGGCTTTGTCCTAGAGAGGCTGTGAGCATCACATTCCTCACCTTGCTGCAACCTGTTAACAGTGATGGATTAGGGCCTTGGCCCCCCACTTGAAGCAGCCCACCTTAAACTCCTTTAGACTCCTTGCAATGCTCTCCCCAAGTGCAAAGCCTTCAGGGGGACGCCCTTCTTCCCTGCGGAGGCCCCACGATGCCTCAAATGCCCCTCTTCCCCAGCAGGTGGCGCCATCCTGACTCAGTTCTGTCCCGAGACTGGCCGACCCGCCAGAAGCTCGGTGTGATGGCGCCTTGGTACTCCTCTCCTCCTTCACTTCAGATAACAAATATTCACTTGGACTTTTGTCAAGAATCATACAATTCTATTAATCTCTTCACCTGCCTCAACTTAGAAAAGAGCTCACTGGTGTCATAATACATGGTTCAAGGTACAGTGTTGTAAGGGGGAAAACTGCACACATTAAAGCTTCACAGAGGCAGCTAGCAGCTTGCAAGAAGGCCTTGGATAGAAGGCCATGGATATTCTCTTCTGATCCTGACTTCTCTGGGCCAAGTCAACCCCTAATCTCAGCTGTCACTTGAAAGACTTCAAGCCACGTGATCACGCCTTTGCAGAGATGGAGAAAAGATTTTGGGGCTTGGGCAGAATCTTATTAAGGGAGACACCAGTGACAGGGGCTTCAGAATCCAAACAGACTGGAGAGACAACCTTGAAATCAGAGTGAATTCGATCTCAGCTTAAAGCCAGATTTTAGATAAGGCTAATGTTACATTAATGCAATGCCACAAATCTGCCTTCCAAAGTTGCCTGGGTGTACACCAAAGGTTCTGAGTCCTTAGATTGTGGGTGAGAGCTGGGGAGTTATGGTCAGTAGGCAGACTAGAAGGTACCATACTTCTGTCCATATGCTATTCTTCTTTTTTAACCTTTATTATGTTCATTCACTTTTCAGGTTAAAGCAGTGACGGGATTGGCTGCAAGGTATAGTACTACAGAAGGAAACCATAAGAAGGTACCACTATACCTTTGTTAGGCCATGTTGAATTTATTTGATACTGAAAATGCTTAGAAGCCCTAATGGTCTGGTAAAAACTGAAGTATCTGAGATCACTTAGTATGCCTGCATAAAGTAGGTGCTTGATGCTGACATCTTATCGCAGTCCCCTCGGGAAGGCTGACTTAATAGCTCAGAAATAAACCCTCATTTATATGGTCAATTAATGAATGACAAAGGAAGCAAGAATATACAATGGGGAAAAGACAGTCTCTTCAATAAATGGTGTGGGGAAAACTGGACTGCTTGCTACATGCAAAAGAATGAAACTGGATCCTTTTCTTACACCATAAACACAAGTAAACTCAAGATGATTAGAGGCCTAAATATAAGATCTGAAACCATAAAACCTCTAGAAAAACAGAGGCAGTAAACTCTTGGATGTCAGCTTTAGCAGTTTGTTTCTGGATGCATCTCCCCAGGCAAGGGAAACAAAAGCAAAAATAAACAAGTGGAACTACATCAAATTAAAAAACTTCTGCATAGCAAAGGAAGCCATCAACAAAACAAAAAGACAACATACTGTTTAGGAGAATACATCTGTAAATGATATACCTGATAAGGGGCTAAAATCCAAAATATACAAAGAACCGACACAATTAAACATGCACACACATTAAAAATGGGTAGAGGACTTGAATAGACATTTTTCCAAAGAAGACATATAGATGGCTGACAGACACATGAAAAGATGTTCAACATCATCACTAATTATCAGGGAAATGCAAATCAAAATCACAATGAGATATCACCCCATACAAGTCAGGATGACTAGTATCAAAAAAAAAAAGTGTTGGGAAGGATGTGGATAAAAGAGAACCCTCATACACTTTGGTAGGAATGAAAATTGCCATAGCCATTATGAAAAGCAGTATGGAGGTTTCTCAAAAAACTAAAACTGGAAGTACTAGACAGCCTAGTAATTCTACTTCTGGGAATTTACCTGAAGAAAACAAAATCACTAATTAAAAAAGACATATGCATCCCTAGCAGCATTATTTACAATCGCCAAGATATGGAAGCAACCTAAGTGTGCATCAACAGATGAAAGGAAAAAGAACATATGTTTTATACACACACACACACACACACACACACACACACACAGGAATATTGCTCAGCCATGAAAAAGAATGGTGTCTTGCCATTTGTGACAACATGGAAGCACCTGTTTGTGCAGGTACCTTAGACATTGAGAAGTTGTTTAATGCTCCCCATTATTATGCTAAATAAGTCACAGAAAGACAAATATAATTTCACTTAGTGTGGAATCTGAAAAACAAAATAAATGAATAAGCAAACAAAATAGGAACAGACTCATAAACACAGGGAACAAGAACTGGTGGTTGCCATAGGGGGGAGGGGGGAGGAGATGCATGAAACATGAAGGGGATAAAGAGAGACAAACTTCCATTATAAAATAAATAAGTCACAGGGATGGGAATACAGCATGGGGAATATAACTAATAATATTGTAACATCTTTGTATGGTGACAGCTGGTGACTACCCTTACTGTGCTGAGCATTTGCTAATGTGTGTAACTGTCGAAGCACTGTTGCACACCTGAAACCAATATCACATTGTATATCAACTCTATTTCAATGAAAAAAAAAAAAAGAACCATGGCTCAGTCCTCTTCAAAAGTCTCCTCTGACTCAGGGAGAGGACAGAGGTCCAGGCTCTGAGCCGTGACAGGAGGAAAAACAGGGCTGGGGCTGTACTTCTCAGAGTGGAAGGTCACCGTCAAAGAGGCAAGGAGCACTTATCTTTTAAATTAGAGGCGTGTTTAAGCTGGAATGTACAGATCTGGAAGTAGGTGGGCCTGGAGGAGCCCTCAGGGACCACAGATGCCAGAGAACCAGGACCTACTAAAATGCCAGCACTGCTACATTCCGGTTAAATTCAGAAACCACAATGAAGAATGCATGCCCGCTAACCTCTACTCGAAACAAAATGATTTCTAAAGTAGTTTAGAAAGTGGTGTGCTATCATTTAAACATGCTTGTGCATATTTATCTTTAACCAAAAACCTGCTAAGTGTTTGGTTCTGCTTTTTCAGCCGTCCACTTCTGAGGACAGTCAGGTCTGTCTGTATGAGCCTCAGCAGCTGGGGTACGACCGCTGCCTCCAGGGGAGGGAGGGAGAACCTTGGCGGCAGGCGTTTCTGGCTGCACACTCTCAGGACACTCCCTTACCTGGGGGGGGCTCGGTGAGTGAGGAGTCCCGCCTCCCAGAGGCCCAGTGGGGAGCGCTGGTGGCTGTTTCCAGCCAGGCCTGACAGTCGCTGCTGGCTGGCCTGTGCTTCACTGCAGGCAGCCTGCCTACAGCTGCTCGAGATAAAGGCCACATTTTGAAGAGGCCTCTCCAGCTGGACAGCTTTCTGAATTTATCAGAATTACTGCCTACGGCCATGCTTGTAATGTCATCCTGTTGGAAGGGCTGTCAATCTCAGACTGCTGCTCCAACAGGAAGTGCAAGCGTGCATATCCAAACGTTTCAAAATGCGCTATAAAGCGAGTGTTGGATTTTTGTGCATCTTTCCTTAGCTTTGCTTCCTAGAGCAGACCTAGTCTGTGCATCGCACACTTGCAAAGTACCCATTTGGCCCCGACCGCACCTGAATCATTGTACGCATTATCACACAGAGGCATCGGCACCTGCGCTTGACTCTGTGCCGGTACCTTACACGTGTGCAAATCGTTTAATGCTCCACCAGCTCAGCTGGAAAAGCCCGTGGGAAAACGTGCAGACGCGTCAGTCACCTGAAAGGCAAAGCCCTGCATCCCCCTGCACAGGCGTGATATTAACGTGACTGGGGAGGGGCAGCTGGGGGCAGCCGCGAGCCGCCGCATTACCTGATCTTGGGGTTTCTTCTTCTTCTTCTTCTTGCCCCAGCACCCGGAACTCTCCGCGTCCTTGCCGTTGGCCTCCCCGCAGAGCAGCCCATCCAGCTCGTCTGTGCCCACGTGCTGTCCCTGAGACGTTTCTGCTGCCAGCCGGTACGAGAGGTTCCTTAAGATGCACACACAGTTTTCCACGGTCTGAAGAACCCAAGACAAAACGGGAAGAATGAATGAAACCAAGCTGGCGCTCCTCCACCCGGAGACGCCATCAAGTCTCTGCGCTGGAGTTTCTCTTTGAATGCACTTAGCTGCTGGCTCCCCCAGGCTCCCTTGACAGCCGCGGTGGAGTGAGTTGAGAGGCGCTTGAAAAGGTCTTGAGACCTTTTCTCCCCACAAGGAATCTACTCATCAACAGTGGTTACTGTTATAAATAGCTGTCACTGTTGGCTGGAATTCACTTGTGATGGGGAAGAACCTACAGCCACAGAGGTCCCACATGTTGTCAGTTTACAGACAGCTCCCTCCCAAGGGCTGAGCCAGGTTCACTCAGAGCACAGATAACTGGATTTCCAACAGCCAGGGGAGCGTGATGCTAATCTCCTCACACACCAGGGCGCTTTCTGGGAGTAAACTGGGCAAGACATGCAAATCAGGGGTTGTCCCAGGCCAGCCAGGTGCTGTGGTCACCTACGGGCATAAATGTACTCATGCTACTGAGAAGGTCAGCTCCTATTTTCTTAGCGTGAGGGTTAAACAGTGCTTAAGGATGCATGCTGTAGGGCTGGATACCTGGAGAAACACAGGTCTTTGACTATTGGCTTGTGACTTTGATACTGTCAAAGTTACAACCTCCTCTGTAAAATGAGCATAATAGTAGCTATGTCTCAGCTTGTGAGGGTTAGGTGAGCTCATGTAAGTACTTGTGGTAGGCAGAATAATGCTCCCCACCCTGCCCCAGGTGTCCGCATCTTAATCTCTGGAACCTGGGACTGTGTTAGGTTATGTGGTGGGAGGAACTGAGGTTGCAGACAGAATTAAGGCTTCTAGTCAGCTGACCTTCAGATGGAGAGATTATCCCGGATTTTCCAGGTGGGTCTATGTATTCATGAGGGTCTCAGAAGTGAAAGAGGGATGCAGGAAAGTTGGATTGAAGCTGTGTGAGAAGGATATGACCACTCTGCTGGTTTTGGAGGTGGAGGAAGGGGCTACCAGCCAAGGAATGTGGGCAGCCTCTAGAAACTGGGAAAAGCAAGGACACATCCTCCCCTAGAGCCCGTAGAAGGGACTTGGCCCTGTTGACACTTTGCTTTCAGCCCAACAAGACCTACTCTGTACTCCTGACCTGTCACACAGTAAGATAATACATTTGTGTTGTGTTAAGTCACCATGTTTGCAGTAATCATACAGCAACATCTATAACCCAGCATACACCTACTAAGAAGAGTGCCTGGCACATGGTAGATGCTACAGAACGGATCATATCATGAGCAGTGATAGAGACAGCACTGTGTACATGAAGGCCCACGGCCTGGGACTCAGAGGGGGTCAGGCCCTGGCTCTGCCACTTAATGAGCTGGTGTGACTTTGGGCAAAGTGCTTAAGCTCTCTGTGCTTCTATTGCCTCCTGAAGACCCCTTCTCCAGATACCATCACATTGGGGGTTAGATTTCACATATGAATTTTGGGTGGACACAAACATTCAGCCCATTGCTTTTGACCTTTTGACCTCTGTTCTGGATTTAAGGAATTGTGGGAAGAGGAAAAAAAATACCCAATTTTTAAAAGGGACAAAATAATGACAGAGAAATTCTGAACTGTAGTAAGTAAACTTTATTTTTAAAAGCATGCCATCCTGGCTACGGTTGCAGGCACCTGCTCTGAGACAGTCACCATTCCAGGCAGGGAATATCACCCCCTGGATATTTGCGCCCCCTGGAGGTGCGAAGCTGTGGGTGACTCGACCAGACTGTCCCCCTTCTCTCTTGCTCTGGGCTGGGGCTGGAAGTGGGTGACTACAAGGGTCGGAGTCCTGCATTGCTGCCCTCACAGGACTGGAACCTGCTAAAAGGCAGCATGTGTCTTTGACATCACTAGCGGGGACGTGAAAATCAACCAGGAAAACCCATTTTTCAGGATGTATCTCTAGAGCCTTTGTCATTCCAGACCTTTTGTGGCAGCTTTTCAGGGTTGCATGGCTGCTAATCCCACAGGCTTTGAGTCAGCTTGATTTTCTATTTCAAGCATCCTCTCAGTATCAAAAAAGGAAGCGGCATGACAGCAGGTAAACACAGGACAATGCATGAAAGAGAGAAAGTCTCTCCCTGAAAGGAAAATGTTATGGCTGAAGTCAGAACGATTTTTAAATCAGCTCACACTGATTTTTCTTATATCAAAGACATGGGAGAATAAACTTCATTCTCATCCTGCTGTTTGTCTTCCTGGGGGTGGGAGGTTAGGGGGGCATCTCTGTGTCTCTAACAAATGACTGCTGGGAAATAAATCTGCCTCGGGTTGGGGAGGTGATTTGGGGGGAAATTGGGGCAAAAGAGAGAAAGTGGAGCTGGGGTGGCAGTGTAGGGAGACGGACGGGGATGAGGGAGGGAGGTCACAGGGACTGGAGTCATCTTGAGCTTGGTTTGGGAGGGTGTCAAATTCCAGTACTTTTCTCTAAAGGGGCAAGGAAAAGAGAAAAGACAAAGGACAGCTGCCTTCTGTGGGGCGGGGGGCACTAGCAGAAGGCATGGGGCAGCTGGTGGTCTTTCTCTTGCCATCCACTGCCATCAACAGTGCTTTTTAGCAGCTCCTCTTGGCCACCAGGGTCATTTTGTCTCCTATTTTCTATTAGAAAGGGCTCATTTGGACACAGTCTGTCGACTGCTCTACCATATGTTATCCATTCAACAAACTGTCCAAATTATAGACGCTGAGCAGAGGCTTGCATGGAATCCAGGCTCTTCAATTCATTTACTTCACCAGCCTTAAAGAGAACATGCACTCGCCCCCTCACACCCTAACTTGTCATCATGAAAGCTGAGAAGTGGCCAAGCAGGGGACTGAGTGGAAAATTCTGGGACAATAGGAATACATTAAAAAACACAATGGCACATTCTGGCCCCAAAGCACTGCTAAGTCACTGATGGCACCTGATGCTGTCAACAGCCGTGATGTCCTCCTTGTCCCAAAGTGGAGGTACATGGGTAGGGTCCCCGGTCAGCTGGGTGTGGAGGTGCACACCTAGCTGAGTTTGGGGCTCCTGCTACTCTACTTGCGATATCAGAGTCTTTAAACTCCGGCCCTAAATGATTACAGTTTCTTCTTTGAAAGAAAATGTGGCTCTCCAAGGTCTCCCAGGAGTTAGAGTCTAGTCATCTGAAGCATCTGATACATGTATCACTTCAGAAGCATTTGTAAAGCCTGAGTTTATATCAGGATATTACGAAATTACAAATCTGTATTTAAAGCAAATCAAAACTGATCAAAAGACACATAAAGGCAAAACAAAATCACTCAAATACTGGAAGAGCCCACCCAAGTCTGTTTTGGCTTGTGAGCTAGAATGCTGAATAGACAACATGATTAACATGCTGACAAGCTCCTTTATTTAGCATTTTGACAGCAGTTAGCTAGACTCCATGAGGCATTTCAAAAAATGGCATTTGGGAGAATTAACCATTGTTAAAAAGCTAACATAAGAATATAGGATTATTTAAATCTTAGTAGGTACTTGTAATGTTTCTTTTTCTTCTGAAAGAGGATTTTATAAAATAAAGCTAGGAGCTTGTGGGTAATAAGGCAAGAGTTTGTACACCCATCTAGAATGCCTGTGGTTTGAGTAACTTAAAACAATCTGAATTTTTATTCACTACTAATCGAGATCTAGGTGTCTAGTTCTAGGCCGAATCAGAAGTCCTGCCTAGAAAACGCTGGCTTCATACAGGGAGACCAAGATAGACTTCGAGTGCAAATGAAACAGCACTTGCTGTCTATCGCTGTTGGCTGCTGCTTACTCCCTGGGGCACCTTCATTCCCATATGGATCTATGCAAACACAACAAACCTTGCTGTCGATCTCACTGCTCCCCAGCGCAGACTGGATCACGTAGAGCAGCGCATCTGTGAGCCCGTCGCATTCCCGCATCCTCCTACGGGCCTCCTCTCCAGCAGAACTAACGTTCCTGCAAAGCAAGAGGACACGTCAGCGACCTCCATGTGGGTTACCAAAGATTGATCTTCCATGCCCACCACCTCTCAGTTGTAAAGAAAGCACTTTGCTTGCCTTTCCAGACTGTTTACCAAGAACCTATTTGATTGAGCAGGGTTGGCTTCAGCAAACGCATCCTATGGATAAGTCACAGGGTCTCTAATGCGACTGGCCAAGTGGAGAATGCAGATTTCCAGCATGCTGATAATGAGGGGCTTTGGAGAAATCCTCAAGGTTTACTTCACTGACTATCAACAATGAGGAAATCAGAAACTCTGATGTAAAAGTTGAACTTCTTTGAGAAGTTTGAAACATTTTTTCAAAGAGCTCCCTGCTTCCAGTAGTCCCCCTTAACCTCAGTTTTGCTTTCCTTTCCACCGTTTCAGTTGCTTGCGGTCAACCACCATCAGGAAGAGGATGCTCCTCCTTCTGACATATATTCAGAAGGTCAATAGTAGGTCTGTAGTAGCCTAACATTATGTCACAATGCACGAGTCATTCACCTCACCTCATCTTATCACACAGGTATTTTATCATCTCACAACATCCCAAGAAGGGTGGGTATAACACAATATATTTTGACAGAAAAAGACCATAGTCACATAATTTTTATTGCAGTATATTGTTGTAATTGTTCTATTATTGCTGTTAATCTCTTACTGTACCTAATTAATAAATTAAACTTTTTCATAGTATGTATGTATAGAAAAAACATAGTATATACAGTATGTGGTGCTACCTGTGGTTTCAGGCATTTAATCACAGATTAAATGGAGGGGAAGTTCTTGAAATGTATCCCTCATGGATAATGGGGGATACTGTATGGAAACATCTTAGAGATCTAATTTCACTTGCCTTGCAAATATACCTACCTTGGCTTTTCGAGAAGTAAAGTTCTAGAAATTTACTCTAAGAACATAGGGGTTTCTGTGACTGTTGGTATGCCCATGGTACCTTGTGTGGGCAGGAATGTTGGCTAAAGCTAACATAAGGGGCCTATCATAAGGGAATGCACAGACGGCAAGCAGGGATATCTTCTAGTCCTACAAAAGACACAAGACCATCTTAGTCAAGGGTGAATCTTTGGGGTGACTTTAGTTACTCCACCACCCAATACTACATTCTTTTGCTTCTACTCATGGTTAGGATTTGGTTCCAGTACAGGATTTTTGTAGTGACTCACATACAGACAACACAGCCTGTTGGAGGGATGCTGGAGAAGGTGACTTAATAAAGGTACAAAAGGACTCAAACAAGTTAGAGGCCACGGAAACAGAGCATGACCTTGTCAGGGCATGTCTCTTGAAGTCCGGCTAGCATCACAATCTCCTGGAAGGCAAGTTCAAGTAGATTGCTGAGCCCAACCATGAGGTCTCTGGGACATTTGGGTAATTCGCATGTTTGGTGATGTGGAAGTCAAGAACAGCTGTAGCTAGAGCTCTAGGGAGAGGGTTTGGGTGGGAAGGGTAGTGCTCTTTGCTGACGGCCGGGGCAGCCACAGGGAAGATCCCAAGAATCTATGGCCTTGTTCAGAGCTCCCAGGAGAACTGAATACTCAGCATGGATCTGCACGCCCATGCTGTCATTGACACACGTGTTTGTGCTGCATTTCCACAGGCCCTGCACTGGTACACTTCATTCTACAGACAAGAACACAGGCTCAGAGAAGCTGACCAAGGCCACAGAGCTGGGATGCAGAGGTGCTGGAGTAAAATCCAAATTTGTGAAGAGAGGAAAACCACGGCTTTAGGCTTAATGGTCTATGTGGATGGACTTTGTTTTTAGGAATGAAAATAGACCTAAAGCTAAAATGCTACTAAACATAGGTATTTCACTGATACCTAAAAAGTTCTGTAGAATGTGTTTAAATATGATATATCACCATTTTAATGTAACACTAGGAAAGGTGATTGAGTTCAGGTTAGTATTTTGGGCATTTGTTGACCTTAAAATACAAACACAATCCCTCAGTTCCCTAGATAACAGAACTGGGCAAATACTGACAGCATTTTCACGTGTGTTACAGACAACACTCATGTCTGACAGGATCTCTGCGGGGGAGGGAGGAAGAACTCACTTTCTGCCAGGCAGCAAGTGGTGAGAGATGTACTGGTACTTTTGTAAAGCAGACTGATGGCCTTTCTGAGAGAGCAGTTTTAGACCATTCCTCCTGGAAATGATTTTTGCCAGGTCGAGCATTGAGGCTTTAGAGTAAGAGGCTTATCGAATAGTCTAATCAGACCTCTCTGGCTAGGAGAATGCAGGTGACAATGTGTGACTGCGTGTTTTAAATCTTGCCTCTTTACTCTTTGATGAAGCTGTGTTTCCAAAGAGAGAATGATGACTTTGGACTTGACGGATCTCAGGGGTAGTGCATGTAGACCCTACTCTGAAACCCTGTACGCTCTTCTCTGACCCGTGAATGCTCCATCTTTCCTATGAGTAGCTTTATGATGTGGGTGGACTGCCTCCTCATTCACAGATAAGCTTTATAATGATCAGCCTGTTTTCACTGCTAATCAATGAATGGGCAGGGCCAACCAATGGGAAAGGTCAGGAATTAACTTGGTCAGCATTAGAGGTTGTGACGATTCATCTGAGCAGTTTCCTTTATTCTAGTTTCCATTTGACTCTAAAATTGAAAAGTTATTAACTGGTTGCTATATTAAAATGTGTAAGAAACTGAGAAATGAGAAAGACTAATAGGTTAGGGTCCCTGCAGGGAAGAGGAATTAGCTGGGATACACACAGGTGCACACATGCCTGTGATGTTACAGAGGGGCCGAGGGAGTTACCAGTGTCTGCAGGTATGTGGAGGCTCAATGCAGACTTTTCAACAGACTGATGTGTGTACATGTCTCATCATCAGTGGGTAACAGTGTCCTGCAAGCATCTGGGGTTGGGTTTCCACTTCTAATCAACTGTTACTGAATTAGTGAAAAACATCATAAGAATATCTTTGGTTTTTCACTCTTGAGGAGAGGGGGGCTTCCTTTTTCTCCCTTTTCCTTACCAAATACAAGATCTACTGTACAATGCATGCTTCACTGTTTAACATAAACAAACAAACAATAAGCCTGGGTGGTGGTCGCTGAATGGGTAGTTGTAATTATGGTCCTAAGTAAGTGACAATGAGCCAACGTCCAACCTTGAAATTTCTCCCCTCACTGTACTTAAACCATCTCCTACCCATCTTGACAGAGGTGATTTCCATGTCATATTAGAAGCTGATGCAGCAAAATTCTATGCATAAACATAACATTAAAACAAATGTGTGTAGACAATTTGTAAGAAGCACAAAGATGGAATAGTATTTATCATGAATTGCCAGTTGATATGTCGTTTGGAAATTTCTGCTTAAAATAGATTCTATAACCTTTTTATCTAAAAGACAAAAAAATGAAACAATTTATTTTTATATCTTGCAATTAAAAGATATAAAATCTCTTGCAATCTCTTTTATTCAAATATAACTAGTTAAACTGATTTATTTCTTCTATCTTCAGGGCTGTTTGACATCTCATCCATCTGAGCTTCTATCATTCATTATGCTTCTTCAAAACAAATTCAATAGGCAGAGCTCTTACAGGATCCAAAGTGGCACTTAACACTGTACGTTCAAAGGAATGCATTTTATGTGAAAGACTTCACTTTATTTGTTACAACTTTGGATGGCTGGGATATGGAGAGTCAAATTACAGAGAAAACCAACGGATGAGATTTTTAGCAGTCAATCTGAAATTAATCTCTCCCTTCTCATGTCTTAGTTCTTTGAATCTACATGATTGATCAGCACTGGTTTTATATTGGCATTCTTTCGGTTGTGAACTTACCACTGCACTGGCACCTTTTGCAGAGAGCATGTTATAGTTACTGGCATACTCAGCATGCAGTTAAGTACCCGGCACATCCTAAGTGCTCCACGCAAGTGGGCATTTACTCCTCCATGGGACAGGAACTCATGTGTATCCAAGACTGACTGATGGCGGTGCTCCAGACTCGGTGGTAAGTATCAGATGTCTGTTACGCCATGAATGCAGGCTTCTCATGTGCTCTGCCACCAACCCCAATCCCGGATTATTTGGGGCAGTGTCAGTGAAGAAAGAAAAAAATAATTGGATGTAGCATATAATATGGGGAGTAAACTTGTTTAGTTTGAGATAATGAACTTCCTTATGATTGTCGATAATGTTGATCACAAACTCCAAGTCCTGGAGAGAACCACAGCTTTGCTGCTGGAGCCCCACAGGTATTCCCCAGCGTCACGCCCAGCTTCACCGGAGGCTGGTTTCTTTTCCTGTGCTCACTGTTACCTCCTCTCCACCCAACCTGCTCCAAGGGCTTATAATCTGCCTCTATTGGGGTCCTATGTCATATGAGGCCCAGCCACACCCCCTGCACCCTGGGCCCCTCCTGTTGGTCACTGCAAATCTCCGGCTGGTGCTCCATGGGCCTAGCAGTCCCCTCCAAAATTATAATCAGCAGAGCTCAGACACTAGGTCTCCATGGGCCTCACTCAGGACACTGTGTACTGGTGTGAGGACTGGGGTGGGGCTGCCTGAGGTCTTCAGAGGGCAGACCTGAGAAGGGCTGGGGAAATGCAGGCAGTCCTGAGGCCATGCTGACAGAGCCACAGGCTCTGTAAGGCCTTGATGCCAGCCCACAGGCTGGCAGGGGGAGTGGCAGACTCCACACAGATGATAGCACGAGGCAGACGAAGGTGCTGGCTCCAGGCCTGGGGATACCTGGGACTCCGAGGGTGGAAGCCTCTGCACCTTGACCGCTGGTAAGAGGCCGTCAGGGGCTGGGAGGCTGCGTAGACGCTGTCCCGGGAGCGCCCTTTCTGCTTTCTCCCTCTCGGCCCACTGACTCTGAGCAATCCCTGCTGCCAAGGCCATCAGGGCTCTACCTTGGCACCCCCACTCCCTCCTCGGGCTCTGTTAGGGCATCTGTAACACCTGATATTGGAGGCTG